CAACTCTCGACAATATGCGTTATAAAAATAATAACGAAATAAGACACAAAGCACTTATTTCTTTATAAGTACTTATGCTTTATCTACTGATTTTTATGCAAATATATGATTCTAGTTGGAAGGGTATTTTGTCGTGGTCTGGAAACGGCAACATTCGGGATGAATTGACAATGCTCAACACCGATAATGACACTTCGAAATCCTTCAGGAGACGAGATGGACGTTAAGACCGCTAACCAACAGGTGATAAAGCACCGTTTAAATCAACTGTAACGTTATTAGATGAATAAATTAAAACTGACGCCCAGTATTCCAAAAACTTCTACACATACAAAAATACAACTGCATAAAGTCATTTAAGTAAAGATTATATGTGTTTCTGCAAGTATAAGTAAGTATGCAGAAATATTCCTAAAAAAGTTTCAAAAAATTTCCTTGGCTCAGACTAAGGACACGAAATGTGTAAAAGGACATTAAAAAGATGACATTTAAAAACATATTAGAAGGTCAGCGTACAAAGTCCGTCGCACTTCCTAACTCAAAAAATCTTGCTTCTGAGCACTGCAATCACAAAGTCTTAGCAGGAGGATTAGACTGTGAATATGAACAAAAATGGAATGCTGATAGCAGTAAAGAATTGATCAAGCAACAAGTTTTAAAATCCATTTAAATTACAAAAAGACTGCTAATACTGAAATTTAAAGAAAAATAAGATAAATTTGCGGGGTCACACTAAGTGAGGAATGTTCCCCTAAATTTTCAGCTTCTTAGCTCTTGTGGTTCCCGAGTTGAAAGATGCGGACAAGTTGCTGCGAACACACACGCACACACACAAACATGCGCACAGACAACCCGGTAACAATATGCGTTTTGTACTGCTTTTACATAGCACAAAACGCATAAAGGAGAGGAAAATGGTGGCAGAGGAACCTGATTTCTTGTACGCGTCGCTCCATCTGCAGTAGTACATTGTGCACGTTGGCCTGCATCTCGAAAATCATTCGCAATTCGCGCTGTGATGCGTCTTCGTACATCTTCGCAATTTCCTCATCCAGCGTATCTGGCTTCGCTTTTTCTGGATGCATCTCTTTGTATCTGTAATGCAAACCTCCCCTCTATCTAAGCTTGTAACAAATTCTATAAAACTGACTGCACGCGCACACATTTCCTTTTGATATGTCAATCTGAGTTCCTGAATATCATGCAAAACAAACTACCACATATGCAGGAGAAGGAGAAGGGGGGAGGGGATGGGCAGGTGCGGAGGGGCGAAAAAACTGATTTTTGAAATTTTTCAACCAAAATGCACTTTTTTTAACTCATTAATGCTTACTTGTGTCAGGCGATAATTCTAACAAACCGCGAAAAACATAATACAGTCTGTCTCAAAAGATATATTTGAAAAGTCGTACCAAGAATTCCAAAAATTAAACGAGTTGCGAGATGAAATGCACGATAACGGCGCTGAACCAGCGAACAATCGCACAATTAGCAGCAGCGATTTTGAGGAACACACACTGAGAAAAACTGCACAAAAGGTGACAAGTCGAAATTTATTACTGGAACACGAGAGATGAAAATTTGAAAAAAAGTACACTTACCTTTGCCGTTCCTTTTCATATTCTTGCATTTGTTTTTCGAATTCGGCATCATATTTCTGCTTCTCGTCTTGCGGAAGTGCTGCTGGCGAGGGCCGACCATCGGGGAACAAAGAAAAGACACTAAATTCAACAATATCGTGATCATCAGCTAAACCACCAGTAGCTGCCGAAATGCCTGAAAATTCGCTTCAATCATAAAGCTCGGCTGGATGGGAAAGAGCGACGAATTAAAGAACCAAGAGCGGTGGGGAGAGGGTGGAAGAGGAGAGAAAGCGGTAAACTTGCAATCGCAACGATAAAAGACGCGAAAGATTTCTGAAGTCCATTACTTCTTATGAAGCCGACTCCTAGCAGCAATCTTTTAGTACAAATTTCGAACAGCCACAGTGCCGTTAAGTCCTC